GGACTCCTTGATTCCATGAGGTTCTGGGGGTGTCTCCATGGTCTCCTTGGATCCACAGTGTCACAATGGACCACTGGGTCCACGTGGCCCTGCTGTGTCACCATGGCCCCTTGGTTCCATGGGACCCCAGGGTCACAATTGACTCCTTGCTTCTACATCACCCCCGCAGTGCCAAAATGGCCCTTTTGTTCCATGAGGAACACAAAAGTTTTGTAGAAACATTGAGCAAATCCTGCTTAACACACCTGGGAACATCTGTTTGCATTCCAGAGAGAGGTTAAAGGTGAGGATGGCACCAGCAGCTGCCATCTGCAACAGAGATCCAGGGAAAGGACAGGGACAGAGAATTCAGCTGAAAGACTCAGAGAATTCTGCTTCCAGAGATCATTTCTGCTCACACTGTCCCTTGTAGAAAGGTGACACCATTCCAGGCAGCCTGGACTGAGCAGGTGGTTCCTGAGTGAGGTTTGTTGTTTAGGAAACCTGCTCAGGCTTTTCCATTCTTTCCTTCCCACCAGGAAAACTTCTCCTGGGCCTGTGTGCAGGCAGAGCCCTGAGGAGAGCAGGTGGGACATGGTGCAATGGGCTGGGACATGGAGCTGCAGAGCTCAGGGGACAAGGTTCTGCTGCAGGGCACAGGGATGTCAGTGCTAGGTGGGCCATGTCAGACATGGTGAGGCTGGGGCTGAGGAGCAGCTTGTCCAAACAGGGTCAGCCCTCAAGGGGCTCATTCTTCTCTGTGCCCAGACCTCCTAAGGAGACAATCAGCATCAAGATCACCTGGGGAACCCTTCTATCAGCTCTTTTCTGAACTGAAAAACAAACAAACAAAAAAAAAAACAAAAACCAAAACAAAACAAAACAAAAAAAAAAAAAACCAAAAAACAAAAAACCAACCAAAAAAACAACAAAAAAAACCCCAAAAAATCCCCCCACACAAAAAACAAAACAAACAACAAACAAACAAACAAAAAAACCAAAAACAAACAAAAAAACCCCCTCACTTGATTAAAAGAAAAAAGTCATGAGTTGTACTTTGAAATCTTCCTCCTTAACAGAACTCCAAATTTACTCCAATCAGGTGCTCAAGCCCTGGAGACTTGAAGACCACTGAAGGAAGAGAAAGAGCCCTGCAAGGGCTTTCTGTATTTTCATGATCCCCACAGTGGATTTAAGGCTGACCCCAGGACACACAGGGACTGAGAGAAGGCTGAAGAAGCTGTTCAAGGATTCAGAAGCAAAACTCCAAGTCCCTTGGAGCATCACTGGGCCCCACTGAGGGCAGGGAGTGCCAAAGGCTCCCCAGGGACTGCTGAGAGCAGATCCTTGAGGCCAGAACTGCAGGGAGCCAAAGGCTCTGGGCAGGGAACTGCAATGCTGAGCAAGGCCTGGGCTGGCTGGGGGAAGCAGAAAGGCCAAGCCCTGAGCCCAGCCTGGGACAGCAGGGCCTGTCCCTCACAGGTGGCTCGGGGCTGTTTGTGGGGCAGGGGGGTGTGAGGGGAAGCAAGGACAAATGCCATCAACCTGTGTGACACTCCAGATCCTCATGGAACCAAGGGGTCAGTGTGACACTGTGGGAAGTTGTGGAACCAAGGGGATCATTGTGGCACTGTTGGGGCCCATGGAACCAAGGGGTCAGTGTGACACTGTGGGGCCTCATGGGAACAAGAGGCCTTTGTGAGCCTGCAGGGCTGGAACACCCCAGAACACTGAAATGCCGGGGGGAACCAAATGGGCTTTACTTGAGTTTGGTGAACATGAGAAACACCAACCAGATATTCTCAACATGGCCAGATGCAAAGTATGCTCTTGGTAGGAAGGGACCCCACAAGGATCATCAAGTCCAGTTCTTAAGTGAATGGCCCACACAGGGATTGAATCCATTGAATCCTCGGTGATACCAGGACCGTGCTCTAACTAACTGAGCTAAGAGGTCAAAATGACACGAAATTTTACTGGCAAAATATAGATAATCAAGGAACTTTGGCAAAGGGTTTAATACAACATAAAACTCTTATCAAAGCATTAACTTGATAAACTTGGCCCATTAAACCTAAAAACCTTTAACCCTTAAGGCATCAAGTTACCCAAAAAAGTTCCAGGTAAGTAGAATTAGAAGAAGAAACAGAGAAGAGCAGAAAGACAGAAGATCTATAGAAAGACACGCACAGAGGTACTAACTGTCCTGGTCGCAGCACCCCTAACAAAGGAACTCCAGAACAAGGCAGGATCTAGACCATGGGCTGGTTTTCTGCTCTGGCTTTTAACTCCCTGGGCTTTCATGGGCCCGCCCCTGGGGTGGGACTGCCAGGTGCTTCTCCAATCAGAGACAGGGTAGGCAGCAGCTGTCAGTGTGTGATTGATTGACAGCTGGGCCAATCAGGGCTGGGTCAGCACAGCCCCTGCTGTGTGATTGACAGCTGTATCAGGGCTGGGGGCGGGGCTCTATCCCACCACAAACCAAGGCCTGCTGTGTGATTGACAGCTGTGTCATGGCTGGGGGCGGGGCTCTATCCCACCACAAACCAAGGCCTGACCTGGCCCTGGCCCCACACGGGCATTCCAAGCATCCCAAGGTGTCTGGGGACACCCATCTCATCCAGCCTCTGACAGTGACCACGGTGACACTACGGAACCTCATGGAATCAAGGAGATCATTGTGCAGCTTAGGGGCCCTGTGGAAGCAAGAGTCAATGATCAAACTGTGAACCCCATGGAAACAAGGAGCCATTGTGACAGAGCAGGGCCGCATGGTTCCAAGGGACCACTGTGTCTCTGTTGGGGCTCATAAAACCAAGAAGGCATTGTGACATTGCCAGACCTCATGGAATCCATGACACCATTGTGACATTGTGGGGACCCATGAAATCAAGGGAACGTGGAACAGGTCTGCCTGGTTTGGCCTCCTGGGGGCTGTCTGACAGGTCCCACTGAATTTGGCATGTCAAGGGCCACTTCCCATCTGACTGTGAAGCACTAGGGCTCCGTGCTTTCATTCCCATGGAAAATAACTGTTTTTCTTGTCTAGATGGCCATGGCCAAAATTGGAATTCTGCCTCTAAAATTCCCTATATGCAAGGTATACTCCCAGACAAAATCTGCCAATACAGTCAAGTCTGGCTAGCCTTGGCGTCTGGTGACTACCTCTCATCTGCCACTGCACCACTGGGGCTCAGCTGTTTCCTTCCTATGGAGACCATTGTGACACTGCGGGGCACTGTGGAGCCAAAGGGCATTGTTACACTGTAGGAACTTGTGGAACCAAAGGGATCATTGTGACATGCGGCCATGTGCATCCAAAAGCCCTCCTTGAGGGCTGCCCCAGGCTAGCTCTTTGGCATGCGAGTCACAGGGAAGGGGAATGGGGGCACTGTCCTCACTTGCGCTTGCAAGGAGAGACCCTAAGGCACGAATGCCTTGAAGGACTCTGGGCTGATGCCGATGGGAGTGAAGAAAGTGGGCTTTGACTTCTAGTGAAACAGGGTTTATTGGGAGGAGCAGGGAGATGAAAAGTCCAGGGAGTCCAGAAGCCAAAGACAGTGGGAAAGGGCTTACAGTAACTAATAAAGGGGGGTGGCAACAGGGGTGGAGCCTGCCCTCCAACAAACAGAGGAGCAGGAGGGAGTGGAAAAGGAAAGAAGGACACTGCTATGGGACCAGTGGGGAGTGACATGGGGAAGGGCCCCAGCTGCTGAACCAACCACTTGATGCCCAGAAGAGAAGCTTCTAGATAGAGAGGATGAGTTGCCCAGTGATAGACAAGGCACCGGGGTGCAACAAAACAAAGGATACAATGTTAACTGGGGTAACAGGGGAGGGGACAGGGAGACTGACAAGGATTGCGGGGGAGGAGACAACCTGGGTAGAACCATTACACAACCACAGGGGCGAATGGAACAAACCAACTTACAATATACAACTTAGCATAACTAAAAACCTGAAAAATAGTAAACAATCTCCATATTGCATTCTACTTTAGCACAACACAGGCACAGCAAGAGAGGTAAGAATTATATTTCCCTTCTTCTCTGCTTGTCTCACAGCTTCGAACATTCACATGTTCAAAAGGCATGTGAAAACCACACTCAGGGAGAGAGAGAGTCCCTTTCCTGCCCCTGGCAATGACCTGAAGTGGAAGTGAATGTGATGACAGGCCATGGCCAGATTCCCTATATGCAAGGTATACTCCCAGACAAAATCTGCCAATACAGTCAAGTCTGGCTAGCCTTGGCCTCTGGTGACTGCCTCTCATCTACCACTGCACCACTGGGGCTCAGCTGTTTCCCTCCTATGGAAAGAAGGACACTGCTATGGGACCAGTGGGGAGTGACATGGGGAAGGGCCCCAGCTGCTGAACCAACCACTTGATGCCCAGAAGAGAAGCTTCTAGATAGAGAGGATGAGTTGCCCAGTGACAGACAAGGCACCGGGGTGCAACAAAACAAAGGATACAATGTTAACTGGGGTAACAGGGGAGGGGACAGGGAGACTGACAAGGATTGCGGGGGAGGAGACAACCTGGGTAGAACCATTACACAACCACAGGGGCGAATGGAACAAACCAACTTACAATATACAACTTAGCATAACTAAGAACCTGAAAAATAGTAAACAATCTCCATATTGCATTTTACTTTAGCACAACACAGGCACAGCAAGAGAGGTAAGAATTATATTTTTCTTCTTCTCTGCTTGTCTCACAGCTTCGAACATTCACATGTTCAAAAGGCATGTGAAAACCACACTCAGGGAGAGAGAGAGTCCCTTTCCTGCCCCTGGCAATGACCTGAAGTGGAAGTGAATGTGATGACAGGCCATGGCCAGACTCTCATGTTCTTCAATCCCAGACCATGTCATTGGCAGGGGCAGGAAAATTAAAAGATGTCTTCCCACCATGGGTCACAAGGCTCTTTCCAATATGGGTCCTCCAATGGGGGAAGAAGCTGGAGCAGTTCATCAAGCTCTTCCTGCAGCTGGGGCACTGGCAGGACATCCCTTACCGGTGACTCCTGTCTGGTCAAGTCAGAGCTCTGGGTGAAGCTCTTCCCACATGTGGGGTACTCGTAGGGCCTCTCCCCAGTGTGGATGCGTCGGTGCCTGATGAGGATGGAGTTCAGCTTGAAGCTCTTCCCGCAATCAGGGCAGCGGAAGGGCCTCTCATCTCTGTGAATCCGCTCATGGCGGAGGAGATTGGAGCTGGTCTGAAACCTCTTCCCACAAGTGGGGCACTCGTAGGGCCTCTCCCCGGAGTGAATGAGCCGGTGCCTGACAAGGCTGGAGTTGCACTTGAAGCCCTTCCCGCAGTCGGGGCAGCAGAAGGGCCTCTCCCCAGTGTGAATCTGCTGGTGGCAGAGGAGATAGGAGCTCTGCATGAACCTCTTCCCACACTCCAAGCACCTGTGGGGCTTATCCCCATCATGAAGCTGCTCATGGACCACCAGCTCTGAGCTCTGGCTGAAGCTCTGTCCACCTTCCTGGCTCAGGGCGGGTCTTTCCTTTTCAGAGTACCCTGGGCTGGGTTTGCAGCCCTTCATCCTGTGGGATCTCTGTGGCTTTTCTTCCCCATTGGATTCCTGTGCTGTGGAGCCACTCAAAATGGCCTCTGCTACGAAGTTGTGCCATGGGGCTTTATCCTCTGTGGTCTCCATCCTCAGCTCCTTCTCTGGGGGAAGAAGGACAGAAAGAGGATGGGATTTACCTCCATGCCACAGGGAAGGGGATGGAGATCCCTGCACTTCATCTGTGGCAGGACAGCATTGCCAGTGGTGTTGTCCTGCAGCCAGGGGCCATGCTGGGCTGGGAGATGGAACAAAGGAAAGGGGGAAAGGGGCACTGACTTTCTCCTCACCTGCCTGAGTGTCCCAGGGCATCTTCGTCTTCCCCACAGCCTCCTCCTCCATCTGGGAAAGAGTTTGGGATGGGAAATTCTGTTTTGGGAGGAAAACAAGAGATGAGCACATTGAGTTTTATACTGGTTTCAAGGCAAACCAGGGGGAGAGTCTAAGCCAGAATTACAATTAATTAAGAAAATTAATATCAAGGCAATGATAAGCGTTTTCAGGGATGAGTCATGGAAGAGATAAAGAACACTGCCCCACCTGTTTAGAACAGTTTATGAAGATGGACATGGAGAACATGCTTTTGGTTACATCTTACACTGTAACCTGAAACAGTGGGGTAATCCCTGATTGGGGGGGGGGGGTCTCCTTTTAATAACATGTAGTGGGCTGAATTTCTACTTTTCTTTTCTGGGAACCTGCCAGCAGCTGAGCTGGAGCTGTGCAGGAACCAATGAAACCTAGAATTCCCACATCATTGCTTCTAGTGTCAGTTTATTAATATTTGGGATTTGTTTGTGTTTTCATCACATGTGACTTGTGGGAAAATCAAATATTCATCAATACATTTTATACAGAGTTAAGTTTGATTTCTGCCAAGTTTATTTTGTCCAGTGCCCAGGGGATGCTCAAGAGGTCTCTGTGCCTCTCGCCTTGGGGGATGCTTGGGTAGAGCTTGGGAGGGTTGTCCCTGTCACCCCAGACCATTCCCCAGGGGGTGTCCCTGTCCCTGCCATCCCAGGCCATTCCCCAGGGGGTCTCCATCATTCTCACTCCAGGGAATGCCTGGGCGGGTCTCCCTGCCTCTCACCCTGTGCCAGGGGGTGCTCGGGGCAGTCTCTGTCCCTCTCAGCCCAGTTGAGGCTGAGTTTGGAGTTAGGGCTGAGATTTGGATTAGAGCTGGGATTGGGGTTAAGGCTAGACATAGGATTGGCTTTAGGGCTGGGGCTGGGATTGGGTCTGGGGCTAGAGGAGTCTGGGACTGGGGTGAGATTAAACACAGAACTGTGAGTGTGTCTAAACATGGAGTGAGATTGATACCAGGATCAGGGTCAGGTTTGAGACTGAGCTCACCCAGAGCGGGACAGGGGGGATGTCACTGCAAGATGCCCCTGGCATCGTCCCAGCCCTCCTCAAGCACCTCCAAACATGGGGGGCAGCTGGGTGCTCCAAGATCCAGGTGCTCCCAAACCGCCCCTCAATACCAGATGAGCATTCCATGAGGGCAGCCCTGAATGTGACCCTTGGGGCTCTGGGATCCACCCTCACATCCCTGTGGGAGCAGCTGCAGACAGGACAAAATATTTTTTCCCCCCTCTTCCCTGCAGAAGGGTAAAGCCCAGCTGCCATTTTCTTCTGGTGCCTTCTCCTCAGCTGAAGATGTCAAAATCCCCAGGAGCCGGAAAATCCCAGTTCCCTGTTTCCTTCTGGTTGCAGCCTGGAAAGTCCACTCACAACAAAGAACTTTCTGACAGCCCTGCTGAATGACACCATATAAAAGTTACAAAATTATTTCTTTCTGTCACATTCCTTTTCAGTCAGTTCCAGTTCTGTTTTCAGAGTGCCACCTTCTCAGCTGATTTTGTTTGTGTCCTCCTTTCTCTCCTGCCTTTCTTTGCCTGCTCTGTTACTCTCTCAGTGTCTCCCTTGACCCAGGGCAGCTCCCACTAAAGACCCTGCCCTGATTTAATTCCCAATCCAGGAGCTGCAACAGCCATGGGTGAAGTTATGAAAGCTGGCAATAAAATGTCACTCTAAGAACTTGCTGCACTTGGTTTTTGGCCCCTTCTGAAGAGCTTTGCCTTCAAGGGCAGGAACATCTTTTCCTGGCTGGGAACTGGAATTCCAGCCCCTGGCAGTGTGTGCCATGGGTCCCAGAGGGGCATTCCCGAAGCTGCCAGGGTGCTGCTCCTGCCGTGCCTCCCAAGGAGCTGTGCAGGGCCAAGGGATAAGGTCCAACAACTCTGTGGGCTCCCAGAGCAGGAGCGGGAGCGGGAGAATCCCGGCGCTCGCAGCACCCGCACGCTGAGCCTGCAGCACCCCCTGCCCTGGGAGCATCGCCCCCAGGCCCGAGCCGCAGGTCAGGGGGAGGCCGAGCTCGCCCCGACTCTACCGAGGGGGTCTCCGGGAGGATTTTTTTGGAGAGTGTTCGGAGCCGGCAAATTCCTGCCCTCGAGCCCCGGATATCTCCCGGCTCCCTAAGAGGAGCTTTTTCGCGGGGAGAGGAGCCGCGATTGCCCCTCGGGAGGGTCCCGGGGGTCCACGTGGGGATGGCCCGGTACCAACACGGCAGGACATTGGGTTTGGGGTTCCCCATGAGAGCCGGGGCTGTGGAACGGGGGACCCCCAGGGCGGGGAGAGGGGAAGGGGCCATACCGGAGCCGGGGGACCCCCGGCAGCCCGGAGATGAGGTGGGGACGGGACCCCTGACCCTGACAGGGCTGTGTCCTGGGGTGACTTCATGATGCTCGTACCCCCTTTGGTCTGCTTAGCCCAGAAATGAATTCTGCACCTTTAAGGCTGGTTCTGAGAGCAAAGGGGGGGAAGGAGAAGTGGCAGTTTGTTTTCAGAAGGTGCACTCAGGATGACAATGGTAATATGTCAGCTTTGGCTGCTCACTGTGATACTAAATGCCCTACAGAAAAGAACTGGCCAGACCCAAATGTCAGTGGTAAACTTTGTGAGATTGTATACAAAAAATAAAGGAGGAATGGATGAAATCGGCAATTTTTATAGGGTTTGCTGATTCTGTGACATGGAATCCTTTTTCTATTACTGTGAGAAATGCAGTGATTAAGACTTCTGGGTTTTTCATATCCCAGCCAATCCACTAAAACAATTGGGGAAAAAAGGACATCCATCTCAAATTGCTGCTTTTGGTAGAGATAAAGGGTATGGATGCAGCAGTCCTAATAAAGGAGCTAGAGTGTGCCTCCAGATGCCAAAAGGACCCCCTGAGACAGGTGAAAGAACAGCTCCTGGGAAAGGCAGCACTGTTTGAATCCTGAAACCTGTGCAGGAACAATGGGAATGTGTCCCTGCAGCCAAGTGTTCTGTGTGAGAACAAGGAGACATTGCAGGAGATTGTTTTACACATCCTGCCAGACCAAATCTCCCTGTTTGCCCCAACGGCCCCTTTGGAAAATGCTCTGATCCATGGGGCTCCATGTGAAGGCTGCTGTGAAACTGAGGGACTTCCAGATAAATTCCATCCAGGAGCCTGGGTGCCCTCAGGGACTGGGACCCGGCCCCCTTCCAGCCAAAGGTGAAAGGGCCCCACCAAGCCTTGTCAGCAACAGACACGGTGCTAAAGCGGAACAGCAGAGGACTTGGGGGCATTATTCTGGAATTAAAAAGGGGCCAGCTGTACGGACAATTGTTTGCAAGAATTATTGTTCTTATCCTGAAGGAGATTGAGGAAAAAGACTGAGTAACCTTGTCTCTGAAGTACTGCTGATGTCTCAGTTGTATCCTGAGAGTCAGCCAGAATCTTTGTTTGCCACAAACACCTCCAGAGTTTCACCAAGAATTAGTCATGAAATTCTTATGAGAATGTAAAGATCAAAGTAGCCAAAATACTCAATGTAACTAATTGCTGGAAATGTTCTCAACCAATGTCGGGAGGAATGGGGTTCCCTTGGAGGGCCCAGGGAGGAGCCCTGGATCCATCAGTAGCCCACAGTGGGAAACAGGTGTTATAAATAAGAAGCTTGACTAGGCCAATATTCAAGCAACAATCAATTTATTAATATGGTAAAGTATGAGTAAAACAGCGCTGGGTACAGTGGGGGAAGTTTTCCCTCCAACTGCACACCGATGGTTGAGGTTTACAGGTATTTATAGGGGTACACACAGCTTTCTCAGCAGTTTCGATTCCCAGCAGTTTCTATTCCCAATTTTTACGTCACAATTCTATACACTATTGTGAGTTAGTTTTTCTCAGGATGTACCCCAGGAGAGAGTATCCCCAGATGGTGGGGTTCAACTTCCCAAAGAAGTAAGAAGTCTTCCAGCTTGTGTGGTCCAGACTCCAGATGTGTGTCCACCTTTTACTTGCAAAGACTATAAATCTCATGACGGTGATGTCCAGCTTCCCTTGAAGCTTATCAGTCCTTGAGTTGATGTTCAACTTCCTTTCTCAAGCTGCTTTTTACTGTTTTGCTAAGGTGTTGAGATAAGCATATTTCCTTTACATACATTCTAAACCTATATTTTTAAAGCTCCTTATTACAAGCAATATTCTAAAAAAAAGGTTATTATTGCAAAGCTGTTGAAATGCTTAGCTACGTGCAGAAAGTTCCTGTCCAGCAGCAACATAATTAAAGCTTTAATTCAGATGCTATTTGCAAACAAAGGATAATTTCCAAGGCCTTTTTCCATGCTTTACTTCCGCAGTTATTTTTTAGAATTCATCCTTTAATTGTCCCATGATCAGTTTCCACACAAATCACAATCACAAGTACACACACTATCTGTATGTACCTGACACGAAACACAACTTTGTATCTCACAGTCCCCCCTCTGCTTGTATAAATTTTCATTTATCCTACTAATTCGTGTCTGGGCTTCAAATCTGGCCAAAACTTTGGAAACTTTTCCTTTTTTATCTTCTTTCTTTAATTTCATTATTTTGGCTATTTTAGCTGTTTTTTCAAATTTGCCAGCTTCTCCTGTAGCCAATTCTGGGTCTACAGGCAGCACAGCAACCTGCATGCTTTGAATAACTGAGTGGATTAGTCAGATAAAACATGGAATAAGGCAAGGTAGAAACAGCAACCCAGCTGGTGAACAAAATATCATGAACCCTATTTTACTCCACTACGCTCCCCCTCCGAGCATCTGATCCCACCACGAGGATTGAAGAATGGAGTTCCATTTTTGAACTGGGACATGAGCCACCCTTTTGATCTCTGCTGCCAAACCCCTGATGGTTTCTCCGTAATCATCGATTTCAATGCAGCATTCTGACTCGTTAAATTTCCCACACACTCCCCCTTCTTCGGCTCACAAATAGTCCAATGCAATTCGATTCT